GTCTTGCTGACAGGAAGCATCTGGGACAGGGGTAGGCAACCTACAGCCCGTGGGCCAGGGCCGGCCTCCTGAGGCCTTTGGATCGCCCACCACCACCCCTGCTGCCCCCCACTGCCACTGCCCCTGCATGCACTGGCGGCAGCAGCGGTGGCAGCCTGTGGAAGACCAAGGGATCCCCGGACCAGTCCCAGGTAAGGGGAACTTGCCAACCCCTGTTCTGGGATGTGTTGTGCAAATTAGTAATTTTTCTACCACCCAAAGAATGTCATAGCTGCTTTCACAGCCCTCCTCCACAATTCCTGTCAGGGAGCTCACCTGAATGTTAGGATAATTCTGTTTTATTCTGCAACTAGGGGAAGAGTGAGAATGAGTGTTGTAATGTATTTCCTTTCTTTCTTCCTGTATAAATGAGTACTGGCAGACAGTCACAGCTATGAAGTCAGTTGACTTGATATGGCTGCTGATAGTGCTCTGGTGAGAGAAAAACCAACCTCCTTTGTGCTTTATCTCAAAATATCATATATACTCAACTATAAGTTGACCTCATGTATAAGTTGAGGGAAGGTTTTGGGGCCAAAATTATGGATTTTGATATGACCCATGGATAAGTCAGGGGTAGAATGTAGGGTATGTTACAAAGGATGTAAAGGGTGAAACAAAGGAAAACAATGTCAAAGAACTTGCAAAATTTCAGCAGTTATAACTGTTTGTGTTCACACTAATGGCTGGATGGATGAGAGAGTAGAGTAGGGATCAATGCTTCCAGTACAGATTATATTCTTAGCTTTCACAGGAGATGGTTCCTTTTTTTTTTTTTATAAGAGTTAAAGTACTTACATTGATGCATGGATAAGTCAACTCAAGTTTTTTGGGTCAATTTTTTGACTTACAATTCTGGACTTATACATGAGTATATACAATACAAATTTACACACAGTATGTTGAGAACAGAAAATAAAACATAATAGGGCAAGAGTTAAAAGGACATGAAAAAAGAATTCTTGATGCCCTGAGTTAGATGTTACTGAGGTTCAAATTAGAGGATATGTTTAGCAAGTTTGCCCCCTAAAGTTGTGCCCCTGGTGAAAGATGTTTATGTGTCATTACATTTGACATACTTCATCTACAACTTCTATTGACAGCCAGTGAGGTATAGTGGTTTGAACACTGAACTGCAACTCTAGAGACCAGAGTTTGAATTCCTGCTCAGCCATGGAAAACCATGAGAAGTCAATGAACCAAAGACAGAAAAAGAAGAGACTCCAAGACAGCATATTATTTCTAGAGTAAAAATGTGCTGAGTGAAACCACCATCTAAGTGGGAACAAAACCATGTCACATAAAGTGAAAGGGATACTATACAACTGCATGCACAAATGTGTCTTGCAGCAATTCTGAGATTAACTGAAAGAGAAACGTTGGTAGCATGAGCTTTTGTAGACTTGAACTACTTCCTCAGATGCATGGGATAGAGTGGAAAATCAAGGGACAGACCTATATAGCAGCTTGTGTGTGAAAATGTCCATAGGAATGCACAATTTTGTGGGTGTGGAGATGCAGTGGAAAGTTCAGTTTTAACAGTGGTCATTGAGGGAGAAAGCAGGAGGAAGGATAGCTAATACCCCAGAGAAGAGGATCAAAATTCAAAATGACCTTAACAGAGTAGAAAGCTGGGCCAAATCTAACAAAATGAATTTCAACAAAGAGAAATCTAAGGCAATGCACTTAGGCAGTAAAAATGAAATGCACAGATATAGGATAGGGGACACCTGGCTTAATAAGAGGACATGTGAAAGGGATCTAGGAGTCCTAGTAGACCAAAAGATGAACATGAGTCAATAGTGTGATGCCACAGCTAAAAAGGTCAATGCAATTCTAGGCTGTCTCAATAGAAGTATAGTGTCTAGTTCAAGGGAAGTAAT